CTCATAATTTTACCCTGGAAGTAATAGAGCAGGTTTCAACTGAAGGTCGTAAAACCAGCACCTTAGTAATCACTCTGACCAATCGGAATGGACACGCCACCACAAGCCAGTGAGCCAATCAAACTCGAAGTAATTACATGCAGCTAACGCAAAGCGCGGCAAAACGAGAGCGAGCGAGTCACGATTGGTTTTGGTTTTACCTCTGATTGGATGAAAAAGTGGCGCGAGTTTTTTAAGCTCATCGTCAGTGAAGCAAAGTTGATGCAAAACCAACTTTTCGACACTCAAATGAAAACTGCTCTATGCTCTTTGTTAATTCACTAAGTCAAAAATAAACTCTAAATTTTCGATTTACAGCAAAGCTGAACTTTTAAACGTTTGAGTGATCCCAGTCTCTTCCACGGCCATTCTTCAAATTGTCACGTAACGCTTTTTTAGCTGTGTCACAGCGTTTCTTCTGGTTTCCTAGAGGACCCAGAGGAAGAAGTACAGAAAGATGTAGCACTTTCTAAGCAAGCGACAAATTTTTGACATAACTTAGAACTTCAAGTCTGTTCGTGCATAAAGCAACGACAACGTAGTCGATGACTACTGTCACGGTAAGAACGCGTTACATTTTTTGATCCTTGTTCTTCAGTCACGCATCACGCGAGGTTTGTGGCAGCCATTGGTACGCTTTCATCCATCGGAGCCGAGATGTCTTTTGCTCGTTTCCTTTTGAAAAATCCAAGCTGAAGAAAAAAGTCAAAAATAAATCACAAGCCTGCCAAAGGATGGAGGTGATAGCGAGGCAAAGTTCTGGAGAATAGTTGATAGAGATGTAGTCCATGACATGCAGAGGAAGAGGTGATCGAATTTGCGACGGTGTATAGTGAAGGATGATGATGACGCCATATATATATATCGCTGCGATCCAGTTCACACTAGCAAGAGCGGTTATTTAGCTTCTTGTTTACACGAGCCCTTCACCACTGATGCCATATGTGATTTAGCTTTCTGTTCACACGAGCTCTTCACCACCGTGTTATATGTGATTTATCTCTCCCTTTACATGAACCCTTCACCACTGATGCCACAAGTGATTTAGCTTTCTGTTCACACGAGCTCTTCATCATTGATAAGTTCTGTTTACACTAACAAGGCTAGCCATGGATGATTAACATATCTGTTCACACTAGCTCTTCACCACTGTATTATATATGATTTATCTTTCCCTTTACATGAGCCCTTCACCACTAATGCCACATGTGATTTAGCTTTCTGTTCACACGAGCCCTTCACCAATGATGCCACAAGTGATTTAGCTTTCTGCTCACACGAGACCTTCACCACTGTGTTACATGTGATTTATCTTTCCCTTTACATTAGCCCTTCACCACATGTGATTTAGCTTTCTGTTTACACGACCCCTTCACCATTGATAAGTTCTGTTTACACTAACTAGACTAGCCAAGGATGACTGACATATATGTTAACACGAGCCCTTCACCAGTGTTATTTTTGAGTTATCTTTTCCTTCACATGGCATTCTTTACTTATGTACTAATGTTCTTTAATTTAGGCTTTGTGATCCAGTGACACTAGCTCCACATTTTAAGTTTCCAATAGCCTACTTAATATTTACTCCCTTAAAACATTTCATTATAAAAGTTTTACAGCAAGCTCAACTTTACATCTAAATTAAATGTATCGACTTTAGTCAAGTACGTTTGTTTTTGTGCTGCGAGGTATAATGGAAAATTTCGAATTTATGTGAAAAATGATCGATGAAGCCGCCAGTGAGTTAATTTAATGAACAATAACAAATTATTAGGAAGGTGAAGTCTGCATACGAGCCGAGTGGCCCATCAGGCCGGCGCTTATCTCCGGTTTCTGTAGCATGAAGCCACTTTGAGTATTTCTACTCCCCCCTGGATGGGATGCTAGCCCATCGCAGGGTTACCCCCAGCATTAAATTCGCCAGTACCCAGTTACATACCTGGGTGGAGAGAGACACTGTGAGGGTAAAGTGTCTTGCCCACGGACACAACAAAATGTCCCTGGCCAGGGTCTCGAACCCGGACCACTTGATCCGGAGACGAGCGCACTTACCATAAGGCCATCGCGCCTCCGCTTACAAATTATTCATATTAAAAATACACTGTACAGCTACTTTGTTGTCAGCAGTAAGAGTCTTACCTTCCAGAGGACAGCTGCCGCACCACCCAACAAAAGAACTCCACCGAGAACAGACAAGAAGATTACCCACCAAGGAGTTTTCTTTTTCTGAGTTTCTTTTTGAGCTGGCTTGGCCGTGGTTATAATCTGGGAGAAAAAGATTACTCGAGCTTTAAGCACCGAGCTAGAAATATTGTACTGAATTCTTCTTGCGGCACTTTCGACTAAAATTTGTTCTAATTTATTTCGCGACATCTTCCAATGTGTGTCACTTTTTAATCAGTCCCAGAGCACAGTAAAACAAAACTAATGCAATTCAGCATAAAAAGCAATTGAGAGTTGAATAATTTTGCAGTTGAATCTCAAGCACAGCCACGGTATTTTGAGTTATTTTGGCCAGGTACAAAATTACCTTTAAACTGAAGGAAACCTGAAAATAACAGTTTACTAAGATGGAAAAACACTATGGAGATAATAATAAACCATACAGGAACAAGGATGGTTAAGGATGGAGAGGATTAACGCGGATTAAAAACGACGCACTTAGAAGATTCAGGTTAAACTTTTCAAGATGCTCAAACGTAACGTAGCTCCTTTAATGCCATGATGATAGCCACAAATCACAACTCGAACTGTTTTGTATTCCACTGTCAGCTTGAGATACAGAGAGTCCACTGTGTCCTATAATTACTATACCTACCGTTGTCTGGTCATTGTTTACATCAGGCTGCGTGATTTGACTGGGAACTTTAATCTTCGCAGTCGTCTCCAGGTCTACCGCTTCAGGAGGATCAAGTTCCTGTCGAGAGAAATCCGTCATGGTAAGATTTACATGCTCAACCCGAGGAGCCGGAGGGGTGGGGGGGGAGGGGGGGGAGGGACACCCATACGAAAAAGTCGGGTATGGTCGTCCGAAAGTTTGAATTAAACAATTAAACTCCTAAAGGAGAGTAATCTGTGCGTGGTTCGAGCTTTATTCGACGCCTTAAAGATCCTACTTGAAACGGAATAATCTCGATTACCAGCCGCCGTTCAGGAAAGGAGCCTAGAAACAGAGACAAAAGCGTTTCCTTTTTTATTATTTCTTCCACTGCACCCTAAAAGATACTGTGACAGGTAAAAGTGGTGGCGTGTCGTCACCAACACCCTAACTGAAACCAGAGTCCTTGATTTACACCTCCAAGCGAGACGAGGAACATCCCCGACTTTTCCATCTGGGAGTCCCCCCATGGGAAGCTCAACAGAAAACGAAAACATAGGCTGTAGGAAATGAGGTGGCCGGAGATATTTCCTGTACAGCCGTCACACATTCAACGAGTTTCGTTTGCAACTGTCACGCGATCAATCATAGTTCCTGACTGATTGTCAAACCTTTCGTCGGTTTAATACTAATTCTGAAAATTTGGTGTTACGCCAAGACAATATCATCTGGTTGATAAATTTCTACACTCTCATTACCTGTTTCCTGACAATGTATGGATAGTGTAAGGGCAAATTAAATGTTAATCAAACATGAGAAGTCAAACCTTGAGAAGTGTGTTTTCCCACAATCGAAACGTAAGCCTGATGTCCACTTTGTCACTCGTCTTCAGCTGACCGAGGTTACAAGAGAACGAATTACAGCCCGCCGTACGACAGTCCTGCAAATAAACACCTCTTATTAATCGAGTTCCATGTCCTGCTATCATCTCCCGCCCTTAGCCTGATCCCCGGGCAAGAGTCTCTCGCCCGAGGATTAGGCCGAGGGCAACAACAACAACAACAACAACAACAACAACAACAACAACAACAACAACAACTACTACTTTATTTGTACTCATTCAGCTAGAAATTAAATGAACAAAAATAAGTTTAAAATAAGAAGAGTACATGGCTGCCCGAAATAACCTTAATGGGCTAATAAGACTGGGCAGCAATCCTTAGTGATTTAAAGCAATTATTATTTATTTGGGTCAAATAAGAAGAGAAAATAAGAAAAAGACATGGAAGAGTACACATAGCACATACATACACAAAGACCGATTATGCATAGAGATTTAGTGAAAAAGAATCCAACTGTTTGAAAATTTGAAAGCGAGAATTCCCGAGAGTATCATCACATGGTCTGAAATGGGGCAACAAACCGGCCAAACTCAAAAGGTCTATACTGTCGACAATGCGGCGGCTTTCCTGTAATCAGATTGGCTGCATTTTCTATGGCATGGTATAAAATCTAAGGGTAACTGGGAGCATGGAAAACTTAGTTTGGTAACAGATTAATTAGCAGAGCCTTAAAGGAGCTACATCACAGTTTGCTCATCTTGAAAAGTTTAGCCTAAATTTTTCAAGTTCATCGTTTGCAATCCGTGTTAATCTTCTCCATCCTTAACCATCCTTGTTCCTTTATGGTTTATTATTATCTCTTTAGTGTTTTTCTATCTTAGTAAACTACTATTTTCAGGTTTTCTTCAATCTAAAGGTTATTTTGTAAATGGTCAGAATAGCGTGACTGAGCTCCCTTGACAAGATTCTTGCTACTTACCAGCATCTTGTTATCAGTGTCACGGCGCTTGCGTGACTGTTGGTTGTCTGGTTCAGCTGTGTCATTCGATGCCTGATTAGAAAGAACAAGAAAAGAACAACAAAAGTTAAAGAACAACCAAATCACAGAAACACTAAGATAAAGATTGATCGACGGCGTTGTCAGTTTTGGAGTGAGCAGCGGTGAGTCAATTTTACACGTCGCATGCATATACTGCCTCCTTATTCAGAAAATACTTTTTTTTTCTGGGGAGGGGTGGGGAGAGGGGGGAAGTGGGGAAAGCGAACTCGATATCCCTCAAGTAATATTTCCTAAGTTGTTGAAATACCTATAAAGTGAATTTTTTTTCAAGATAACTTTGAAGTACACTGTTTGAAATACAAAATACCAAAATTTGAGAAGCATGCGATAACAATTTATTGCTTTTACAAGGGCGCCAAAGCGCGCCAAGTTAAGGTATTTTACCATCAAGAATGGCATTCGAATCGCGCGACCAAAACGACACGTGACATCAACTTTTGACGTTAGTTTGTGTGATAGAGATCAAGCCAATATGGCTGAAAGGAAGAAAACTGAGCAAAGGAGGAAGATATAGCGTTGCTGATTCATACACGTAAGTAAACACGTTTAGCCGGATTTCCTCAATTATAAACGGTGATACTGCATGGACCTCAATGTTCTATGGACACAAACAAGATAGAAACTCAAGAGTCGAACAATACCCGCCATTTTCTAAACAGTTCCCGTGTATTAGAGTGATATAAAACGTTCTCACTTGATTCTTGCCTTACCTTAATATCCAGGGGGTTGACCTTGGCGTTACAGATCCCTGAAGCACCCTCAAGCTGAAGGTTAAAACACAATGAAAATAACACTGTCACTTAAGAATGCGTGACACAAGATAACGTTACCAAAGATTGCGTGATATGAGAAAGCGTGCGGTACACATTAGTTTCCACTCGCATTTTTCACTTACTTCAACCTGCAGGAGATAGAGGAGATAGCTGTCGGGCTTGGATGATTGATAACGGGCAGGAAAATTCACCGTCACCACTGAGCCGTCCACAGCACTGGGACCCTTGTTTCGAATCTGAAACAATACATTTTTAAATATTACATAAGGTTGAAGCATGCAATTGATAGCAAGCGCGGGAAAACGTGGAACTGGTACTTAACGCAGGAAAGCAAGCAATCGATGAAAAGCGCAGGAAAACGTGTCACTCTTCCAAGCGTCAACTTATCTGCTCTGATTGGCTCGTCAAGTTGCGAGACATTCACAAGCAAAAAACCCAAGAAAACGCATATCATTATCGAGTGCGACTTTAGACAGCGATGAAGCAAACTCTGAATTGTACTTACAGACAACGTCTGAATCACTTCTGGTCCTATGGAATCCAAAGATTTTGTGACTTCTTCTAATCCCCTCACCGCACCTTGATACACAACCTGTCCGTGTTTTGAGGTACTACAGAAAAGAGATATTCAGCAGTCAACCGATTGGTCCGGACATTACATAATTTCCATCACATCTAGAGGAGATGAAGGGTTAGGGAGTTATTTCCAAGCCTGGCAATCCCTATCAAGTTATTTTTCTTGCCATCAGCTTGGGCGGTTTGTTGCCCCACTTCAGACCATGTGATGATAATCTTGAGAATTCTTGCTTTCAAATTTTCAAATGGTCACGTGTATATGAATAATTCTTAGTTCGTATAGTGTGATCGTCCGGGTGAGTGTAGTTCTAAAAAGAACTGTTGTTGGTGACTGACGTTTCGACAACCTGAGCGGAAGTCATCTTCAGAGTCAANATACTCCTGGGTTCAAACCATTTACAATAATTCTTAGATGGATAAAAGAACAATTCTCTATAGAATATCACCTGGTTTGTAATGGGAAAACAAACCGTCCAGGTTAAAAACGTCTATTTATACACCTGGGTGGAGAGAGGCACTGTGGGAGTAAAGTGCTTTGCACAAGAACACAACAAAATGACCCCGACCAAGGCTTGACCCAGGGCAGCAACAAGCTAACAATAACATTCCAAGCAACGAGTGCTTTACAAAAAATCTACAACATGTAAACCTTATACATTAAACGAAAATATACCCTCTGATTTCAACATCCGCTTCAAACTTCACAGGGATGGAGAAAACTTTCTTGTTGTCCTTGTCGTTGGCATCTTTATCTTGGCTGCAGAGTAAAAAAAAATGCCTCGATCAGTACAAGCTCAAAAATATATTCTCCTAAAAGGTTGATAAACATGTCTGCAATGCAGTTCCGAGAATTTACGTATGCATCATGATCAAGGCGAAATTTAAACTTCCGACAGTGTCATATTTGAGTCATCGAACGAAACAATATTTTTATAAAAATACAGTGTTCCACTTTTAGACATGCATTTCCAACAGATCGGGCCAACTCAAATTCGAAAAAATGACTTTTCAATGAAAAAGAAAAATATTTTTCTCGTCATGTTGCGTTTTACATGAACTTTATAACAGAAAAACACAAACAGATAACAAAAATTGAGGCCATAAGAACACAATCAAATAGGTACCTTGATGCAAGTACTTCCAACGTGAAACTTTCTTTCACAGATCCTGGTGAAAACTTGATTCCAAACGTTTTCTAAAGCAAGGCAAAAAACATTCTTTTACTAAAAGTACAATTAATAATACAGTAAACGCTGTTGGAAAGCTACCACTTCTAAATGACGTCACTAAAATACGTCATGTTTCTTAGCAACACCGCTTTTGGATATCGCGGCCTCAGTCTAACTCCCACGTTCTATAAAGACACTCAATCTTCCGACTGATTTTATATAATACAAGAAACAGTGAAATTACTTACACTGGATTTTCCTAGAAGGGGATTTCCCACGTTGCAAGTTACCGTCGCTGTACCATTGTCAGGGTCGCTCCGCTCACACTCTACAGGCTGAAGAACAAGGGCATCGGTCAATTAAGAAATAGGAAATATGTACCGTGTTTCAATTAAGTTATGGAAACACGAGTTGAAGATTGGGAGAACGAAAAATGTTGTGGGAACACCAGCCGACAAATTTTGGGATTTAGTCTTGAATTATAAATGCCCCAACAAATGGGTTTTTTACTTTTTTCATGGCTTTATTTGTGATTTTCTTGAATTTCCTTCGGTGAAATCTTCCAAAATTTTTACAGCACATCGCATCCTGCGGGATACGAATTTTAAACACGAAAAAGCAGATTTTTTACTGGTCGTTTTTTTTTATTTTTACAAATTTATGTCTTTTACCGCTGGTCTTATAGATTTCCCTGAAAAACGAGCTCCGACTAGAGTAAAATATCTACTACCAGTTGGTAGTAATTTTACCGAAGGAAACGCAGGAAAATTAACTGTCAGTTTTGCTTTAGGTGCTCAAGTTGACGTCATAAAATATCGANTTACCTTGCGAACCTAACACAGTTCATTAGCAAAGGAAAGCTAAGACTTCAGAACTTGTCTGTACGCGTTGCTAGGGTGTTCGCGCGCTAAGAATTATGGGTAAATTTACCAGTCGCAATCTTTAAGACTGTTTCTGTTGATGTTCTTCTTAAGTAAAACATCAGAGGGGAGCTCGGGCGCTTTCTCTTCCGCCCAAAATTCTGGAACTTTCGAAACAAGGACAAACGGTTTTGGCATTTTCTAGAGGAGTTTCCAGAAACGCCGAAAATTGTTGAATTTTGGAAACAATTTTCTCAAATGGAACGGAAATTAGGCAGGCAGCAGTTTTCAGAGATGCTTTTAAAGTATTGGCACAAGACTTACTATGGCCCTGAACGTGTTTGGCAGATAGTCGTTCAGTACCGGGCAGAGACCACCACAAGCAGTTTGCGGTAATGACACGGTAAGATCAAAGGTAAGTAACGAGCCAACATCAACCACTTCATCTTTATCCTACAAGAAAAAACAAATCGTAAAAAATATCCATACTTAAGCACCAGAGCACTTTTCTGTGTCTACATAGCCTCATCTAAACACGACGGTAAAGGTGAAAGGTAAAGTCTGCATACGAGCCAAGTGGCCCATCAGGCCGGAGCTTATTCCGGTTTCCGTAGCATGAAACAACTAGAAGTATTTCAAACTCCCCCCTGGATGGGATGCTAGCCCATCGCAGGGTTACCCCCAGCATTAAATTCGCCGGTACCCATTTATACGCCTGGGTGGAGAAAGGCACTATGAGGGTAAAGTGTCTTNCTTTGGTTTTAATAGTATAGTCCTCTTCCAAGATGAAGGCCCTCTTTTTGTTAACTGGGTCCCAAAAGAACATTCGACGGAGTGCATCAGACTCCTTTGCCTTGTCTAGTTCCACTTTGTACTTGATTTTTAACTCTGGAAAACAAGAAACTGTTGTTATTCATGAAATATTACAACAATGCTCTGATGCTTACTGATGGCAACCACCGTATACAATGAGAAGAGAAACTAAAAACGGTTATTATGGAACGTATATCGGTTCAAAAGTTGAGCATTAATCAGTTGGATTGATGGGATGCTAGTCCATCGCAAGGTTACCCCCCAGCATTAAATTCGCCGACACCCATTTAATGTACACTCGGGTGGAGAGAGGCACTGTGAGAGTTAAGTGTCTTGCCTAGGAACAGAACAACCTCTTTACCCTCGTTGTACAACAGCTTGTCAAATCCTGCCTTCTTACTGCTGCTTTCTAATTCAAATTAAGGTTTAAATGGTCGACTGCTAAGACATTTCAGGAAAAAAATCCTTCTGTCACTTGAGTAAATATGTTTGCCTACTCGGTCGGAACATTTGACATAGTTCGCCACCAAAAGAAAAGTACCAAGGTTTAGCCCTCTCAGACATCAACTTCGGTGTGACACGGAGAGGACTGGCATTAAGAACACAGGGATACCAATCTAAAAGAAACTGCTGAGTTAGCGTCACAAAAGTACACTCACCTTGATTACCACTAAATGCAACCTGATTCGTGTAGGAAAATCTCAACGTCATGTTTAAACTGTAAAAGAATAGCGGGTAAGTTACAATTTAGTTTCATTCCGTCATTCGCCCTTAAATAACCTGCACTGCATCTTTCCCTTGGAAATTAACTAAAGTGCCGCGGTTGACTGACCCTGCTGGGGAAAGTGTCTTTGGCAAAGTTCTCAGCAACTAAGAAACACGATAACGCCTGCAAGAAGCAGGATAATAAGTGCTCTCAGGAGATCACTGAAGCCTGCGAGCAGGTTCACTTTTGGCTTTGAGTCAAACGCGCGACCTAAGAAGAGCGAGAGCTCTTGTGAAGGGCCGCCAAGAAAGTAATTTTTCTCGCGGCTTCGCAGCTCGCACGCTTGCTTCCCAAACGTGGGCCTACTCGCACGCTAAAGCTACCGTCAAATCGAAAAACGCGGTGATACAAATATTGTTCACCCATACGGACTTTGTATTAAATCCCTACATATCCGAAGATTGTGAAGTGGAAATCTATTCCAAGTATTTCTCTTACGACTGACAGAAACCAGTATATTTTTCTTTTCACTTCTGAAGGTTTTCGTCGCTCATTCTCCATTAAGAGATCTCTGACAGGTTTATTTACCATTTTATTTTAGCGCCTTCTAAGTCGCACAAGCTGTCGTTGCTTTCCAAGGTTATCTGCGATTCGCTCAGTTTAATGGCAGCGTTCACATTCACGATCCTCCTTGTCCTAGAATAACAGAGAAGTCAAAGTAATAAAAATGACCAAAAAACCTACAGTAGACCTTTAAAGGACAAATTTTGCGCAAATGTTCTTCTTTGTTTACTGCATAGGTAAAACATTGATTCATATTGTACCATACTTTACCTCAAGATAATGGCATTTTCTGATCCATAAGCGCCAACAGCAATATCTGGTTGTAATAGGGAAGAAGGCGGTTCAATTTTTAGTAACTGCAGGTAGAGAGAGTAACTTTAATTTTGACAATCTTCAAATGGTTTTGTTTGTTTTCCCTGAAACCCACTTGGGTGTGTGTGTGTGTGTGGTCGAGGAATAGCAAGGAAAATGTGGGATTACCTTAAATTTAAATTATTTTAAGGAAAAAAAAAAAAACACAAAAAAGTACCAGGATATTTGTTGCCATCCACATCAACATCTCCAGAAATTGACAACCCAAAATTCTTGAGTCCAGATTTAACTGTTGAACCTAAAATTTTCTGAAAAAGAGTATCATATTATTTCAGACTGCATGTTTGTTATTAGCTTTAGTTAATGTTATTCCATGTTTTTACCAAGTCTCGATTAGCAGATTTTGATTGGTCATTAGCAAAGTTTTTTCAATTGAGTATTGTAAAACCAAAACCAAAACCAAAACCAAACTTATTGCTACATGTATCGCCACACCCAAAGGATACACACAACCTTTTGAGTCAATCAAAACTCCGAAGAATGCTTGTCGCTGATGCAAAGCAGAGAAAAACAAATTTGGGCACGTTACATTTGGTTTTAGTTCCATTTGCGATTGGATGACAGTGGCGCAAGTTATTTAGTGTCAACCATGTAGTGTAGTGATGCAAAACCAAAAGCAAATGCATATTAGTTCTCACACTCATGAAAAAACTGCTCTAAACACAATCAACTTTTTTTAAATCAGTTCTTATTCATTGCTTATTTCTTTATTTAACTTTTGTTTCACCAAATCCTTACTATAAATTCTGACTGGTCATTAATAATAACCATACATCATTTATGATTGTCTCAATGCCGTTGATTTAATATTAATTATATATTTATAAGCTTACCTGTCTGTACTGGGTCTCTATTCCTTTGCTGCTTCCATGATAAATATACACTGCACCACTTCCATCATCGCCTTCCATTGGAGCTCCAATAGCGACATCTGTCAACAATTTAAAGAACATAATTACACTTAAAACAATGTCATTACCCTATGAACATTACACATAAACAAAAGATCAAATCTGTACTGTTGCAGTGTTGTAAATGGCAAGCAAACACACTTTAGTTAATAAATAAATACATAAATAACATGAAACTCTGATATTTAAGACCTGCAGCTGAAAATAAAGCTCAAAAACTCAGAGCCAAACTCCTTCCTCCCAAAATACTGAGGTATGAAACATATTATGCTCTCTGAGTAGTAGCTGTTCTCTACCATAGAACTCATAGAGTCTGCTCATATTTACCAGGCAGTTGATTACTAAGCTGTAGTTAATGAGTGTATCTCACCCAGATTTTTGTAGCAGTAGCAATTGGTATGCAGTGCAGACCTGTGATGCTCACAGAACCAGCAGCACTTAACCCTACACCTCTCACACTTTGATACAATGTATCGTTCCAGAAAATATCCATACCACACCCACAGTGGCTTCTTTGAGTTTGAACCCCCCCCCCCCCCCTTACCAACCCCCTGCCAACGATCTGAAAATCCTAGTTTTGGTTCATACTTTTCTTTAAAATGTTTGGCTTTTAAGCCCACCCCCTTGCCCTTTGGAATTTCCCAGGCCTAGGGGGAGAATGGATATTTTGTGGAACTTAGACAAATTCTTAGAATACAATACCTTGGAACCCATCCTTGTTTAGATCACCAACTGCAGCAATGGCTTCGCCAAAGTGGGCATTCGGTTTTTTATCTCCCTCAAGGACCTTGTCTTGTAAATTAAGTGCTCCCTACAGATAAAAAAAATAGGAACATTATTAGAACAACACATTTATTATGGTAGATATGCTGCAGTTACATTTTGCACCACCAGACCGACTATCAAGTTTATTTTGTTCATGACATACATTAAGACAGGCTCATGATATGACAGGGAAAAAAAGAACTTGAAAAATTTGTGAAAAATTGCTTGCAGTCAATTAACAAACCTGTTTATTATTCAAATAGATGTATACCCGTCCTTCATCCTTTACGTGGGTGTAGAACGGCGCACCAACAAGGATATCTGTGTACCTGGAGGCAAGAATACATCACATACCGACAAACACACAAGACTGTTGTTGACAACATTTCTAATCACTGGGGAGAAAGTTGAAGCGAAGTATTTTTTACACTCTTCGAGGTGTTTGGAAAGCAATCAAATGAGGTCTTGAGTGTTTGAAATATCTAATCTCAGTTGAGCTGAGATGTCCAAATCAACACTGACAAAGTCATGATTTCCTTTGTTTAAACTTGATGAATTAAACTGGTTCAATAAATCATCAGGCTAGTTGAAATGCAGTTCTTCTTTTTGAATTCAGCAGCCATTTCCTTCTTCTAAGGAGAAGGTGTCATATGCAACCAAATCATGACATGGTATTAAAAAATTGCATGGAGAAAAAAAAAAAAAAAATAAAATAAAGAATCAGTCCTTAGCAGTTGCACTGTATTAAAGGTGTCTCGTACAATATTGGTAGTCTCAGCCATTTGAGAGAGTACTTGAAGGTTCTCCTCCTGTTTTTTTTTTTCAGCATTTTACGACCCAATTTCTTTTTCTTTCTTATTTTTCCAAAGGAAACTAACTCAAGTTCCGCATGTGTCTCCTCCTTTTAGAGGACTGGGGTGCATGGTAACCAGAAGTAAACATGACACTTACTCATCACTGTCAAGGTCCACTGCACACACAACACTTCCGAAATAGGTTCCAATCTGAAAGTATACACCATTTGAGAAGCCATTTCTCCCAGGAGGGTATTTTGAATCAAACCCCTAATGGAGAGCACTCTGGTCATGGCTCAAGCTTTATTTGGCCCCTAAAAGATGCTTTGTTCACTGAAAATTGGGGCATCTTGTCCTGAACACCCAGTGAGACCAAAATCTGTGATTTACCTCCTAAGTGGGACAATGAGCATCCCCAACCTTTTCACATAGAAGTTTCCCCTCAAGGCAATTTTGCAATAAACTAACTAAGTTCGTTATCGCGTTCCCAATTATTGACAGAATTTTGCATTTCACAAAGACATTTGTCATAGATTTCTCAAACAGACAGACTGAAGTTGCAGGAAAGTCACAGTTGGACCTATATATACAGCCATCAGGTTACTTATATGTATTTGTTATCATTACTGGCAGCCTACTATTCATAGCTACAAGTGTCTGCCAACATACCGGTATATCTTTGGGTTGCGGCAATTGTGAACTCACAAAGATCTGTCTAGGCTGGTCATCAGAAACATCATAAATGAGCACCTTTAACAAATAAACCGCCAGCTGTTAAGACTATTTTGTTAAAACGTACAATAAAATTCAAACTGAATGATGTTGTAATATATCATCTACATCACTCAGTCTTATAACTCAGGGACTACAGCATTAATTTTTCAAAGAACTGATTTGTAACCAGGTGGTTTCATGATGAATATAAAAATGTTACACTAGTTAAGAAAAACTATTAAGAATCTTTAAAACCCAACATTTTGGCTATTAACGTAGGCCTTCTTTAGTGGTAATAAAAAATATAAGGAAGTGACAAGTTTTGTCAAGATCGCGTACTTAGTTGCTAGTAAAAGCCAAATACATTAGGAAATTAGTTCTCATCCAATAGAGTCAAAGCTCTGTACTCTTGGGGCTGAGTGAACTCGTCGCGGCTGAGTGGACTTTTGCATGTGTTAATTTCCCAAGCCTCTAAGAGGCATTGGTTTTGCCAACTTGTACAGGTACGTAATATGGTAGACGATTCCCATGAGATAGCGTGACCAGATTGTAAACAATGTTTGGAGAGTGTGGATTTCTTGGGATGTTTTAAATTTGCTCAACCGCTTTTTAGTGTTCTCTGAGCTGAGTACTGAATTTCCATTTGGTCTCCCCGATGTAGCATTTGTCGCAATCTTTGCATGGAATAGAAAGATAGGTCGGAAAAATTGGTCTGGTTATCGGTCTCACACTTATTTGCTTTGACAGACCAGAGCACTTCAAATATCACCAGTTCTAGATGACTGCTTCAAGGCAAGTAATAAAGCTCAGTGTTTCCAAACAACACACTGTTGGTTTCATTCAGCTACAGTTTCAAAAATCCTTATATCATGTGAAATTCTTCGGTTACTTATCCACTGGCCACTAAAGTTGAACTTGTATCAATTGATGAAAACTTTTACCAGGCTGCATCTGTACAGACTTACAGCAATGCTGGTAACAAGGACTGGCCAATTTTAATTGCACGAAAAGACCTGCAGTTGTTTTATGTGTAGTTCGTCTTGTGTGACCGTCCCTGAGGGTATAGTTCTGAAAAGAACTGTTGTTGGTGACTCACGGTTTGACAACCTGAGTGGAAGTGATCTTCAGAGTCATTAGTGAATAGTGTTTGTCAGTTGATGCTGTTATAAGTCTGGTCCGTTGAAAGTGGTTGGTCAGTTTAGCCTGATGGAATTGGCCAAAAGACTTATGTAAAGTTTGTCAGCAGTCATTTTGGTTGGTTCTAGTATGTTCCAATCCGTCTATTGCTAGTCAAATTAAGTTGGTCTGTTTGAGGTCCACCTATTGTTAGTTGAATTAAGTCAGTCTGTTTGAGGTCCATCTGTCGGTTTTGTTTACATTGTGAATAAGTTGTTTGTAAGGTGTCAGTAGTTGTTGATGCTAACATTGCCACGAGTCACATGTCCAAACAACATGCACATGCCCATACACATAATGTTCAGCCACTAAAAGGGTTGTAAATAACAACTAAGTGATTACTAACAGTGAAACCTGTATTAAGCAGACACACTTGGGACCCTCACTAGTGTCCGCTTAATACAGGGCGTCTGCTCTTAGCAGGTTCTAACATATTTTGCAATTATAATAGTTAATTAATAACCCTTTTGTAACACAGTGTGACACAGTGTAAGATCAAAGACTGCTCATAACACAATGTCCAATCAGTCAATGCATCAATCTGGAATAATCTACTCAGCTTTAAAACGACACTCACTGAACAATGTCACAGGAGTCTGAACTGAGCTTTTAGAAGTAAAAAGCCCTTGAAGTATCTGCTTACTGCAGGTTTTGTACAACAAAATGGGTTAATATTGGTGTCAGTGTCCGCTTAACAGAAGTGTCCACTGAATGCAGGTTTATTTTACAGTAAATGTAGGAGAACAAATTTTGGGACTCAAGCTGGAGTCTACTTAATAGAGAGTGTCCGCTTAATATGGGACCCACTTAATAGAGGTTTCACTGTAACTAACAGAGATTAACAGAAATACCTTTCCCTTTAATGTCGCAGCTCTTGGGGCACCACCCACAAGCTCTGATGAAAAAAAAAAATCTGCATTTGGAAATTGCATCCAACAGCTGACCAATTAAAACCACAGAAATCAGAGTGAAGCCTCCAAGCAGATCAGTTTTTCTTTAATATTTTTAACAAACCTATTCTTGATGGGCTGGAAAAATGTCCACTAGTGACTGAATAACCTAAATGATGAAGCAAAAAAAAAAAATGCAACAGTTATTCTGTAAAATGTTGATAACATTTTGAGAGTCAATTCTCAAACTCATTCATAATTCATCGCGTAAAAACAAAGAAAATCATGACCATGACAGTGTTTGGTTATTTGATCTGAATTAGCATAGATTTTTACGATTTTATTTCCCTGTTGTCTCCTTAGTTTTAGAGAAGATATATCGAACACTCAAGGCAGTGTTTGACCACATTTGAATTTCCAAAAACCTCAAAGTTCGTCTAAAATATACTCTCCTGTGCATAGTATTTTCAACTCTCTTCTCTGTGTTTAGAAATGTTACCAAACATGGTCTTTCTTGTTTGATATATAACATGACATACCCATGTAATCTCCAAAGTCAATTTGATCTTGCGGTGATAAAGTGTAAGGAGCTGAGCCTCCACTAGCACTGGTAAGGACTAATCCACCTGAAAAAAAAAAAAAAACCCATAGATTGACATCTCAACAAAGTTGCACATACATGTACTACCAAGTACTAAGAACATGATACTAACCCACCTGTAGCTTAAGTCTTCTAATGTTCTACATGAATAACTTAGTAGCCTGCGTAGCAAGCGTTTCTGTGGGGTTCGGGAGCAAATAATTACAGTGCGAAAAATGGAGCGAGTAAAAGAGGGGGGAGGGGGAGGGGAAGGAAGGAAGGAAATGCTTGCAGACAAACCCCTGGATTTTGAAAACCACCCACTTGGCCTTTCATGCCTGAGTGCGCACACTGAGATTTCGTGCTGTCATCAGCTTTCACAAATTAACCAATAAAATCTTCGGCCTTCCGTAGCGGGAGTGAACTTTGAACCAAAATAAACTTTACAACGAGCGCACGGTGGGAACGGAGAAATCTCGATGAATTAAATTTGGTAATTTATAATCAAGTTATATTTCTACTCAATCCGTCTAAAAGGAAGGACTGCAAGGATGAAGTTTTAGCACAAATCTGCCAGAAAGTTAAAATGTGAGAAGTATTCCAGT